CGCGCTACGACGCTTGGACAACACTACCTTACACAGTAGACTTATTATTAGCGGACAAGCCCAACCCGACTGACTCCCAAGCGATTTGTATGATTGATGGGTCATGACTCGGAAGTGGAGGATTTTTAATACTATGTATGAGCTGGTTGGGCGTCAACTGAAATTTTGTACATATTACCGCCTTTCGCACAAGGCGCAGACCGCATCACTCTCCGTATTTGGGAGATGACTTTCGGCAGTAAACACAGCGTTGTAACAATGTCAGGAAAGAATAAGAGTCACATCGAATGGACGATATGCATGAATAATAAACATCTACTATGTATGCCAGCCATGTGTGCGTGCTGAGCACCAAGACAGACCGCAGGTTGGCAGGCATCCGAGCCCAACCAGCCAATACAACAAGGATGGATGGACAAATGCGGGAAATGGGCGGACAGAGAGCCATGACGAAATGTGGGCACACGTGACTTGTCAGCTGTTGGCTCCCGTTGTCACGGACAGTTCGGGTCTAAGCCTAAAGAGGAATGGTCGTTGCTGTCGGCGTCAGGAGGAAGGAAGTTTGTTACAGTGTTATTGCAGTGGTTGCGGGAGGCCCAGGGGGCGCTCGCACGGCATAACTCTGGCCAGACAGGAGCAGCAGGGGGGGCCAGGCCCACTCCAGAGTGGGTGGGTAGGTGGTCGCATCAACAACACTGACCCAGAAGTCACAAGCCAAAACATCAATGTAACAAACGACGACAGCCTCGACGACGAGCACTGCCAGCGACAGCCTCTGGCTTTGCGGCCTCGCAATCACGGTACGACGACAACCAGGTAAGTCCAGCTGCTTCTGCGACTAGCAGCCCGTGATCTCGACCAACGGCAACCCCCGAATTCACTAACCCCCAGCGCCCATCCTCCCGAGAGAGTGAGTAGATTCCCCCCAAGGCGCACTCCCGACTGCCACCGGCGGCGATGGCTCAACCACTCGTCGCATCAGTCCCAGAAGCGGTGATCGCTAACAGGAGGCACTGCAGAGGGCCAGACACGACCAGCTTGTGCTATACTTTCTTCTCTCCTCCCATTTGTTATCCGCATTCATTCCAGACAACCGTTATCGCTACGACTTTCATTTGTTATTCCAACATATTGCATGGCGCCTTACCACACGATACGACCCTGAACCGATTAATTACGAGCACATCGGCAGTCTCGCGTCTTTTACTGCCATACCTTGAAACTATCCAACATCAAGATACCATAAAACAACACAAAAACAACAAACTCCAAGGCCAGGCAACACTAGTACACCGCTCAACATGGCTGAGCCACCATCCTCCCCACCAAGCGAGGCAGCCAGCGCCGAGGACGCCCTCTCCTGGTACAAATCGCAATACGTTCAGCTTGAAGCAGATCTCGCCGACTTTCGGGAATCTAGTCGCGAACTTGAACAGGAGCTTGAGAAGGACATTGAGCGTGCAGAGAAGCAGGAGCGGGTGCTGCAGGAGAAGGCAGAGACGCTGGCTTTCGAAGTAGAGGAGTGGAAGGTGCGCGCATATCCTCACATGGCATATATTGCATATTCTCCTGTCTTGGAGCAAGACTAACTTGTTTTTCTTCCAGCGCAAGTACAAGGAATCCAAGCTAGAGGCCGGATCAGCCCAGGCCGCGTTAGAGAAGGAAATCACCACTCTGCGGGATTCCAACCGAACTTACCAGCTGAAGATTAGGGACATTGAAGTCGCCAACGATGATTTCGAGCGACAGGCCCGCAACACCACCTCTTCTCTGGAGGACATGGAGTCCAAGTACAACCAGGCTATCGAGCGCGGCGTCATGATGGAAGAGGAGATCAAGCAGGGAGAGCAGGAGCGTGAGAATCTCCGAATCGAATCCCAGCGCCTCCGGGAGGAACTCTCAGATCTCAAGATTGAGGCTGAGCTGCTCCAAGACAAGATCAAGAAGCAAGAATCCCGCCACCTCTCCACCATCTCCACCGATCTGTCAGTCCTTAGCTCTCCAACCTTTGACAAAAATGGCGGTGGCTCTCCACTGTCAACTGCAAGCTCTCCTCTGGTTACAACGCCACCAGACAGCAAGCCAAATTCCACGGCCGATGCCGACGGCGAGGATCACGAGCCTCCATCACCACCTATGTCCGATGTGTCGCTGTCACTGCCAAGGCGCGCAGATGCATCATCTCACCGACCCACTGCCTCGATGTCAAGCGCGGCTCGCAAAACTCGCCTACCTTCTGCTTCAGACACTACGCCCAAGCCCAGACCATCAATGACGAATATGCGACCTCCCAGCGGCCGACTCTCTGGTGGCGGTGGTGTTCCCCTGCGAACACCAGCCAACAGGTCTACTAAGCCACGGACCGGACACAAGCTTCCTGCCTCGAATTCTCTTACTCATATTCGCGTTCTCACTGCCCAGATGCAACGCCTCGAAGCTAGGGTACATTCAGTGCGATCTAGGTTGCCAGCACCAACCTTCACCCCTCCCCGTGCTTCTCCCCGTGGTACGGCCGCTAATGTCCCATCGACCGTTACCATGAGGAGTCGAAAGCGCACTACTGGATCAACAGCCTCATCTGTGGCTGGAGACGATACCACTCCTACCAATCTTCGCTCTTCCACCTCGTCCAAGCCCAGCCATGTACCCCGACTTAGTACGTCGGGAGTCAGCCGCCTCTCATATGGTCCTCTTCCCAATCGAGCACCGGATCACGATTCCAGTCGCCCAAGCTCACGAGCTAGTGTCTCGTCGATTGCCAGACCCGTCTCTCGCACTGAGATGAATGCGCCGCCCCGCCCCGTGTCCAGGACGTCGCTTTCCGGTGCTCGTACCCCTCTTGGGCGGCCCCGATCCTCTCTCGGCGGGTCTTACCATGGACATTCAGCAAGTGTTGGTTATGCAGACCTCGAGGAGGAGGAGGAGGAGGATGGCGAGCTCCAAACCCCCAGCCGCCAAGGCACCTATTCGAAATTTGACCCAAACAGCAGCACCAGCAGCATCCCAGGCCCCAGCGCTAGCGGAATTCCCATGCCCAGCGGCCGGCGTTCAAGCACTACTGGTAGAAGAGCAAGCAACAGTGCGTTGAGGGACTCAATCTCTCGGCCTAGGTCGACGATCGGGCATAAGCTGCAGGACCTCGGGGAGACCTACTAAGGATATCTCTCCCACTAGACTTGAACATGATACCCCACTCCTCAGCTTCAGTTCTTCTTTGAGATTTTGATTCCTCGGGCGGTTATTTTTCTGGCTTCTGGCGCAGCATGATCTATCGGATGGTTTTTAGCATGGGCAGCGAAAGAATGGCGAAGCGGTTAATTTTTTTTTGTTGGCCTTTGTTGCTTTTGGGGTGGTTATGGGATATGGCGCGATTTCGATCATGATTCCCAGACGCCTGGGTTTCCTATCTTGCGCGTGGAGCTTTATGAGGATACGGCATACTTCTCTTTTCTACTTTGCGACCCTCGTCCTCTTAATAGATGCTCTACAATATGTGAGCAAGGGGGTGAGGCCCTGTGTGGACTACCCTATGAAGGTATTGAAACCAGGCGAGGCGAGATGAGTCCACTGGATGATATCAGTCGTGCAAGAATGCACATCATCAATCCGGATCCTGGGCAAGGATAGAATCCCGGGATCCGATTACATTAGCACATATATTATTTTCATTTGTCTTTTTGGATGGAGGAGGATGGGGTGAATATCCTCAGAATATACAACATAACACGATACTCTTAAATTGATTCCATTGGTTATTATCTCTACTGCTCGTTGATAAGCGATGTCGCATCCTCTACCCTAACATACGGGCAAGACAAATGAATGATCCAATACTTTGATTCTACCCCATTTGTACTTTCAAAGAACGACAATGTCTATTCCTCTTCATTCCGACCGAGGACACATCAAAATTCCAGATAGTTCATCGTATGTGAGATATCACATACGCCACGACATGCCTGATACTGCTGTAGGGTAGGAAGCAACAACATCTTCATCTCAATCTCCAGCAGAATGATCGACAAAAAAGGCCAACAAGACCGTCATCCCTTACCCGTCTCGGCTAGCTGGCCACCGCCCAGCAAGTTGTTAATTTTTTCTTTTGGATTTTTCTTCGGTTTTTTGTTTAGCGTTGAGGAAATGTGCACGCCCCCCACAGGTGGCCAACTACGTTAGTGCGGGGCTTCCTTCGGGTAACCCTTTTCTCAACAATTGGGGGAGAGCAGCAAAAATGGGTGCCTTGAGATGAAAGCGTACGTCGGGCAATGAGGGTTCGGTAGCTGCTGACATGGGTCTGGGGACAGTCTTCTTCTTTTTTCTCTGGTTTTCTCTTTGGATGGCCCCCTGTCTGATCTGATTGTTGATTTACGTTTTGGGCAAGTTCTTCGTTGCATGCTCGCTTGGGGGTAAGGGTCAGATCTCACATGTTTTGTAGATCTACACATTGCTGGATTCAACCGAGAGGTAAATGTTTATCGTCGCCATGAGTGTCTCACCGGCTCGCGAACCGGCTTCCCACTCGTGCGTTTTTAATTTGACGCTTCGTGGTTGGCGAGGTAATGGGCCATTGACGGGAAGCTTCGGTGATCGTTGATCCAGGACCCGGAAAGGGGGGTGGGTCTAGGACGGCAATGTTGGGGTTCAATTGTAAGGTAGGCCACGAGGGGGATTGGCGGAGCTAAAGGGTCTTGGGGATTTTTTTTTCAGGTCTGGCTGGCCCGAGTGTTCACACCCACCTCATGAATGGCGATGGCCTCCCCCTTGGAGTTTGATTGCGTATCTTGCTCTGTCTCTATAGATGTCTCGCCGGTTTCAGACGTCCAATGATAGGAGGCCGTCGGTTTAAAACGGCCGAAGTATTGCATTCCTGAGTTGTAGGCCGATAAGCGATAACGCACTGGACTTTAAGGCACGTCGATGATTGGCACTAGCCGACGTCAGAGGCCGCGCTCGGGTGGTTTTTGATTGGTCGGGGAAGCGGATGGATGGGGCAGGCCGCTCTAAGAGTTTGTCCAGGAAGCAAGCCACTTGCGCTGGGCTTTCATCAATGGGACTGTTGCTGTTGCTGTTGAGAGGCGATGGCTGGTCTGCCTGTCCGCGCGGATCCGGATAAAGTATCCTATGGTTGTTGAGTCTGTTAGCAGCAGGAGACATGGCTGTAAAGATAGCGAGTCATGCTGTGAGTGCATATGCTCTGTAGAGTGTTGGAAGTTCTGTTCTGATACCTCACGTCAGCATCTCCATGTCTGCGCCGTGGCCACGCACTTACACGATGCATACGCACTTATCAGTAGACACTGGGTACAGAGATATGGCCGGCTCGCTCTGGTATGTGTGGCAGGATTATGAGGCTGCTTGTAAGATCTGATGATCTACACACCCTGCCATCCGCGTGTCGGGCCTTCATCTTCATCTAGCTAAGGAGGGGTTAAATTACTAGTTGGATGGCAATTTGCTTGGGCGGGGGCCTTCGATGAAGCCCAATCTGGAACATCGCAGCCAGGTCCGCAAGCGTACGCAGCGTTTTGACTGGCCTTCTGACCAGAGGCATCGCATGGCGCACTGAGACGCGGGATGTCGCAATGGCAGGCTGCTGTGCTTATCTCGAGTCGCTCAACGACTGCATGCGCTGCAGAACCGAACAGGGAAGCGGGAGGGTGGATCAGTAGCATCCCGTCGTCCATGTTGGGGTGCGTGGGCGTCTGTGCTTTCGGGCTCCGAATGCCAATTATTGCGCGGGTTTCGGGATCCAGGGCTTACATGGATGATGAACCTCTGGAAACTACACTGTAGAGGGCGGGATCGATGTTGGAGGGGCGAGGCAAGACAGCGCAGTCAGTAGCAGATAGCCTCGTTGCTAGGGATGGGGCCGTATTGCGCCGAGTCTGATAGAGGAGGTCGGTGGTAGCTTCCACAGCTCTGATGCAGCTGGGTACATCGGGTCAACAGCTCCCAGCTTCCGGAGTTGCGGTGGTGAGCCCCTCCCTCCCCTACAGCTACAGAGCTTCCCTCCCTTAGATACTGTACCCACCACCCCCCATCACCCCTGACCCGCTCCCCGATCGAATGGGTGTCCAGTACGGTTGCCCGCTAACGCGCCAGACTCCCAACAAACAGATTCTGTAGGTTACAGCCCGGCCAAAAGGTATCCTAAAGTCTGGGACCGAGCCCAAGGTGCCATATCTTCTCCCTTCCACCCTCGAGTTCTTCTCAATCCTCCTCCTCATATCTCTGTATACCCGGGACTGCCCACCCTTCGCAGCCTGGTCTTGTAATCTATCTCGCAGGACCTCCGTGTAATCAATTCCTACCTTATCCTCCTTGCTTTTCAGCGGTAACCAGCGACCTGCGCTTTCTGATCTCACCCACGAGGGATTGCTGTCTCCTCCTCCTGCAGCCCTCAGTCAGGTTTTTAGATGACGAGCTAAAGACCTGTACTCCATTGACGACGACGATACTCGCCATCACCTAATCTACATCCCACTCCTCCGATCCTCACATACCAGAAACGACGCTACCATGCCGGAAGCCACCAACGGCCGGCCACAGGCCAACGGCAAGGTCTCATATGCCGAGAAGTACAATATTGCGGACCACTTCATTGGAGGCAACCGCTTGGAGAATGCGCCTGCGAGCAAGGTCAAGGACTTTGTCGCCCAGAACGGCGGTCACACCGTCATCACAAACGTGAGTTTTGCTGCCACAGCATCTGCTTTGGCGATGGGCTGAGCTGGAGCGTCCTCGACGACTGATCCCTATGTCTGGCCTGGTGCTTTGTCGCCGGCAATGGCAATAGGCAGTCTGCGAATCACCCCACCATCGTGAGGCAGGAATTGCAATTGCCAGACACTGACATTCTGGGACACCCCACCCTGCAGGTTTTGATTGCCAACAACGGTATTGCAGCCGTCAAGGAAATTCGCTCCGTGCGAAAATGGGCCTACGAAACATTCGGCGACGAGAGGGCCATCCATTTCACTGTCATGGCCACCCCGGATGATTTGGAGGCCAACGCCGACTACATTCGCATGGCAGATCACTACGTGGAGGTTCCCGGAGGCACAAACAACCACAACTACGCCAACGTGGAATTGATCGTGGACATTGCCGAGCGCATGAATGTCCACGCCGTGTGGGCTGGATGGTGAGTTTGCGAATCCCTACGAAATCGGAGATGAAATACTCCGTCATCAGTTGATTGTGCATGTATCCAAGTGGGCAAGGGACGCAGCGCTGACAGGTAGCTGAAAACAGGGGTCACGCATCCGAAAACCCGAAGCTGCCCGAGTCGCTGGCAGCATCACCCAAGAAGATCGTCTTCATCGGACCTCCGGGATCGGCCATGCGATCGCTTGGTGACAAAATCTCCTCCACAATTGTCGCCCAGCACGCAGATGTGCCTTGTATCCCCTGGTCGGGAACTGGTGTCGACGACGTCGAGGTCGATAATAACGGCATTGTCACAGTCCCCGATGATGTATATTCGAAGGGTTGCGTACAATCGTGGGAGGAGGGTCTTACCAAGGCCAAGGAGATTGGCTTCCCTGTCATGATCAAGGCCTCAGAAGGTGGTGGTGGTAAGGGTATCCGAAAGGCCCTGGGCGAGGAGGGCTTCGAGGCGCTGTATAAGGCTGCCGCGAGCGAGATTCCTGGTTCCCCCATCTTCATCATGAAGCTGGCTGGCAATGCCAGACATCTGGAGGTGCAGCTTCTGGCTGATCAGTACGGACACAACATCTCTCTCTTTGGCAGAGATTGTTCCGTTCAGAGACGTCACCAGAAGATTATCGAAGAGGCACCAGTCACAATTGCCAAGGCCGACACATTCAAGGCCATGGAGGACGCGGCCGTCCGTCTGGGTAAACTGGTCGGTTACGTTTCCGCCGGTACCGTCGAGTACTTGTACTCGCACGCCGACGACAAATTCTATTTCCTCGAGCTCAACCCTCGTCTGCAGGTCGAGCATCCCACCACCGAAATGGTGAGTGGTGTCAATCTGCCCGCAGCTCAGCTTCAGATCGCCATGGGTCTTCCTCTGCATAGAATCCGTGATATCAGACTCCTCTACGGCGTCGACCCCAAGACCTCGAGCGAAATCGATTTCGAGTTCAAGAACGAGGGTACCTCGCTTACACAGCGCCGCCCCACCCCCAAGGGCCACACAACCGCTTGCCGTATCACCTCTGAGGATCCCGGTGAGGGTTTCAAGCCTTCCAACGGTGTGATGCACGAGCTCAACTTCAGGAGTAGCTCCAACGTGTGGGGTTACTTCTCCGTTGGTACTCAGGGTGGAATTCACAGTTACTCAGACAGTCAGTTTGGTCACATCTTCGCCTACGGCGAGAACCGCGCTGCTTCGCGAAAGCACATGGTTGTCGCTCTCAAGGAACTGAGCATTCGTGGTGATTTCAAGACCACCGTCGAATATCTCATCAAGCTTCTCGAGACCGAGGATTTTGAGGAGAATACCATCTCCACAGGCTGGCTTGATGAGCTCATTTCCAAGCGTCTCACCGCCGAGCGCCCTGATAGCATGCTCGCTGTTGTTTGCGGTGCCATCACCAAGGCCCACATTGAGAGCGAGGAGTGCATGGCTCTCTACCGTGCCGGCCTCGAGAAGGGTCAGGTTCCTCCCACACAGATCCTCAAGACCACTTTCAACATTGACTTCATCTACGACGGGTTCAGGTACAAGTTCACTGCTACGCGCTCTAGTGCTGATGCCTACCACCTGTTCATCAATGGATCCAAGTGTACCGTTGGTGTCCGTGCCCTGAGAGATGGTGGTCTTCTCATCCTTCTCGACGGGCACAGTCACAACGTCTACTGGAAGGAGGAAGTCGGTGCCACTCGTCTCTCCGTCGATTCCAAGACCTGTCTGTTGGAGCAGGAGAACGACCCCACCCAGCTGCGAACTCCTAGCCCTGGCAAGCTCGTCAAGTACTCTGTTGAGAACGGCGCTCACATCAAGGCTGGCCAGACCTACGCGGAAGTTGAGGTTATGAAGATGCACATGCCTCTGGTCGCTCAGGAGGACGGTATCGTGCAGCTCATCAAGCAGCCCGGAACTGGTCTTGAGGCTGGTGATATCCTGGGTATACTCGCCCTGGATGACCCCAGCCGTGTTAAGCAGGCCCAGCCCTTTGTTGGCAAGCTCCCTGAGTATGGCGACCCAGTTGTCGTTGGTACCAAGTCTGCCCAGCGCTTCACCCTTCTTCACAATATTCTTGTCAATATTCTCCAGGGTTTCGATAACTCTGTTATCATGGCAGCCACACTCAAGGAGCTCATTGAGGTCCTCCGCAACCCAGACCTTCCCTACAGCGAGTGGAACGCTCAGTTCTCCGCCCTCCACTCCCGTATGCCTCAGAAGCTTGATGCCGCCTTCAGCCACATCATCGAGAGAGCCAAGGCCCGTCACACTGAGTTTCCTTCCAAGGCTTTGAGCAAGACTTTCGCCAAGTTCCTAGAGGACAGCGTTGCTCCTGCCGATGTTGACACTCTCAAGACCACTCTTGAGCCTCTTACCAACATCACCAACCAGTATGCCGATGGCCAGAAGGCCCGAGAGCTCAGTGTTATCCAGAACCTTCTCGAGCAGTACTGGAATGTCGAGAAGTTGTTCATGGACCAGCGCCAGGACGAGACTGTTATCCTGAAACTGCGTGATCAGCACAAGGAGGAGCTAGCCAAGGTTGTCCAAACCGTGCTCTCACACAGCCGTGTTAGCGCCAAAAGCTCACTTATCCTGGCTATTCTGGAAGAGTACCGCCCTAACAAGCCCAACGTTGGCAACATCGCTAAGTACTTGCGCGAGACCCTCCGCAAGCTGACCGAGCTCCAGTCATCTCGACCAACCTCCAAGGTGTCACTCAAGGCCCGTGAGATCATGATCCAGTGCGCCCTGCCTTCCATGGAAGAGAGAACCTCCCAGATGGAGCACATTCTCCGATCCTCGGTTGTCGATTCTACCTATGGTGAGACTGGTTGGGAGCACCGAGAGCCCAACTTGGATGTGATCAAGGAGGTTGTTGACTCCAAGTATACCGTTGTGGATGTCTTGACTTTGTTCTTCGCACACGAGGACCCCTATGTCGCGATTGCGGCTCTCGAGGTCTATGTTCGCCGCGCCTACCGAGCGTACGTCCTGAAGAAGATTGAGTATCACTCTGACGAGCTTGATGCTCCCCAGTATCTCTCCTGGGACTTTAACCTGCGGAAGATCGGCCAGTCTGAGTTCGGGCTGCCTCTGCTGTCATCTGGTCCTTCAGGCCCCCCTACCCCTGGCGACGCCGATCCTCTCCGCCTGGAAGCTATTGGACGCATTCGATCAGTTAGTGACATGTCCTACATGACTGCCAAGATCACCGAGGAGCCCAATCGCAAGGGTGTTATCATCCCTTGCAAGTATCTCGAGGATGCTGAAGAGCTTCTGCCCAAGGCCTTGGAGACTCTGGGCTACGCCCAGAAGCAGGCCAAGTCAACCAACCGCGGCCTTGTTAGTGAGCTCGCTCGCCAGCGAAACCCCTCTGTCGCTGGCAGCCTCAAGGTTCACACTGGAGAGCTCTCAGCTGTTGTCAACGTTGCAGTCAGAGATGCCGAGGCTACTAATGACCAGGAGACCCTTGACCGCCTCAACTCCTTGATTGCTCCGTTCAAGGAAGATTTGCTTGCTCGTGGTGTTCGTCGCTTGACCTTCATCTGTGGAAGCGACGGATCTTATCCTCGCTACTACACATTCCGTGGTCCTGAGTACGATGAGGACGACAGTATTCGTCACATGGAGCCTGCGTTGGCCTTCCAGCTGGAACTGGCCCGCCTTGCCAAGTTCAACATCAAGCCTGTATTCACGGAAAACAAAAACATCCACGTTTACGAGGCCCTTGGCAAAACTGTCGACACCGACAAGCGATACTTCACGCGTGCCGTCATTCGCCCTGGCCGTCTCCGAGACGAGATCCCTACCGCTGAGTACCTGATATCCGAGGCCGACCGTGTCGTCAACGATATTTTCGATGCTCTGGAGATCACTGGCAACAACGGTTCTGATCTGAACCACATCTTCATGAACTTCACCCCTGTCTTCCAGCTTCACCCTCGCGATGTTGAGCAGAGTCTGCAGGGCTTCTTGGACCGATTCGGAATCCGTGCTTGGAGACTTCGTGTTGCTCAGGTCGAGATCCGCATTATCTGCACTGACCCCCAGACCGGCACTCCTTACCCTCTCCGTGTTATCATTACCAACACCTCTGGTTTCATTGTCGATGTCGACTTGTATGCCGAGCGCAAGTCGGAGAAAG